TTTAAAAACTCAGGAGCTGCATCTCAGACTCTACAGTTAGCATTTTAAAGGTTAAAGTTAAAAGAAAAAGACTGAACAAGTATATCTTGGTTGGCAGGAGAAAGAACATGGCAGCACGGCTCAGGATTGCAAAGTTGCAACTGAACAAACAACAAGACTCTGGAACAATTTTCCTTTGAGAGATGAGGCCAAAGTAGAGATGTTTGTCCATCACACACAACATCACGTTTTAACTCAACATATCAGCACAAATACCGGCTGTCAGACACGGTGGTAGAGTGTTTTTCAGCCACAGGATCTGGGCAGCTTGCAGTTTTTGAGTCAGCCACGAAGTCCAACAGCAAAAGCTTGGCTGAAATACAACAGGACCATGATCTCAATCAATGTCTCAGTCAAAGTCGAGACCTTATGCATAGCTCTCTTAAGGGCCCAAAAACTTCAGTGAAGCAACACTGTAAAGCAGAGTAGATCAAATTTCCTCCTTAAGTCATACAGAAAATGCTTACTTTGAGCAATCGCTGCTAAAGGTGGTTCTACAAGTTATTGAATCATGGATTTTACTTTTCTTGGGACTGTACAGAGTCCTGAGAAAACGTTCTTGTTCTCACGACTGTGCTTGCAGATGTGTTTACAGACAGCTTTAAATGTCACTGAACAGCAGCTGAATAGCGTCTTTATGTGGGTACTCACTTTCTTCATCAGCAGTGTGTAAGCATCTGTTGGATACGGTGGCCCTGAGAGGCCAAACGGACTGCAACTTACTAAAACACCAGCAATAAGATAAACGCTGCAAAAGCACACGAAACACAACGGAGATTGGAAAAACGAAAACAGAAATAGGAAAAAACAGATTTCCAAAAGCACAAGGGAAGTGTTTCTGGGGAGACAATAACCCGACGGACCAGTTGCAGGAACCCAAAACACGGTAAGTGTGTTTTATCATGATTCATAAAATACTGATGATGGATTTTTAGGCTAATAGTTAGGCTAACACACTTACCTCTCATCTCTTCTTTCCCCACAAGACTGATAGATCCTCCACTTCTTTTAAGTGTCTCCCAGCGCAGTTCTTAGCATATTTTGGTTCCTGCAACTGGTCCGTCGGGTTATTGTTTCCCCATAAACACTTCCCTAGTGTGTTGTGGATCTATTAGTTTTGTGAGGAAAGAAAAGATGAGAGGTAAGTGTGTTAGCCTAACTATTAGCCTAAAAATCCATCATCAGTATTTTATGAATCCTGATAAAACACACCTACCATGTTTTTGGTTCCTGCAACTGGTCCGTCGGGTTATTGTTTCCCCATAAACAATTCCCTTTTGGCTTTTGGCAATCTGTTTTTTCCTATTTCTGTTTTCGTTTTTCCTATTTCCGTTGTGTTTTGTGTGCTTTTGCAGCGTTTTTCTTATTGCTGGTGTTTTATTAAGTTGCAGTCTGTTTGGCCTCTCAGGGCCACCGTATCCAACAGATGTAAATGTCACACAGACCTACAGCTGTCCATAAAGCATGTATAATCCTGATCTTTTACTA